ATAACATGCTATAAAAGAAATACACAGCATGGACAGAAAAGTAGAGCAGAGGAGAGCAACGTGGCTCTCTGAGGGGTGACATCTGAGCAGAGTCAGAGTTCACTCTGGGTCGAGGGGTCAGCAGACACAAGGGCCTGGAGTGGGAACGCTCTGGCCTGTTCAAGGAACAAGAAGAAGGCCACTGTGACTGTAGAGGAGAGAAGGAAGCCAGGTCTGAGCGGTCAGCAGCGCTATTACATAGTTCCAAAGGAGTCTGGCCTTTGTTCTAAATCAGTAGATACATTCTAAGAAGTGATTTCTCTTTGCCAGCTAAGCTGTGTGACCTTTGCCAGTTTGCTATATCTGTAATTTCCTGCCTATCCATCCATCCTTTCAACAAACACTTACGAAGCATTCCTTATGCACCAGCCTGGCCCTAGGAACACGGCGGTAACAAAATAAAGACGCTGCTTCTGGAGAGCCCCCCTCCTGGAGGAAGGGACCCCTGCGCCAACTCTTCTGCCTGAGCGACTCCCACTCCGGAGGCAGGCTCGCCGAGAAGGCGTTTGGTCGCCCGCGACCGCCAGGTGGCACTCGGCGTCTGCGCTTGGGCAGCTGCTGGGGGTCGCGGGGCTGGGACCGGGCCCGGAGGGGGAGGAGCGGCCGGCGGGGGAGGGGGCGGGTCCGCGCCGCTGGTTGTATGACTTTGGGTTTGACCTGCCTGGAGATGAGCTAATCCCGCCGTATAATAGACTCCGGGGAGATAGGGAAAATGGCTGCGGCGCTATCTGCGTCGCCATGGGGACCATCACGCGCGCGCGCGCGCACGCGGGCGAGCCGCAAGCCTGGAAAAATACAGCCTTTGTCGGCGGCGCGTGTCACTCACGGCGCGGGGACTTCAGGCGGCGGGGCTCTGGTCTTACTTACCCCAGATCTTACCAGCGTGGAAAGGCTCTGGGGCCCTGAGGTGGTCTGGGACCGCTGCGTGCCCCCAAACTCCCCGGAAAACCCCTCTTCCTTACACACGGGCACACCTCCTTTTCTGTCATAAGCACTCACGCTACACGGCACATCCCATCCTTCCACTGTGGCTTCTCTCACACCCGCACACATCATTCTCTCCTCTCCGGCTTTCTCTTTCCCAAGTTCGCGTGTCCAGCCCTGAGCCTACGCATGGGGCCAGTGACAGGCCCCAACCGCATGCACACCAACATCCTTGCTTGTTCTGTGCCCATCCGCTGGCACACCCACATGTCCATCCAAATGGTCCATCACTGGGGCCAGTGACAGGCCCCAACGACTGTCGTCCCCTTACCCCTGTTGTAGCCCACCCGGGCACAGCACGGAGATGGGTAAACAAGGACACAACCACCCTCACGCAGATCCATGCACACTTAAAGGCACACACTGAGGTCAACACTGAACCCTGCACCCTCACTCCTGGCCATCATAGGTATTTATGCATGCACACGCTTACAATGTGCGTGCCACCAAACACTGAGTAGGATGCCATATGCAGGCACAACACAAAAGAGTCACACACCCATGCCTGAATATACACATACACATTCGTTCTAGTGGCAAGCGATACCACTTCCTGTATGCACTCATGGCGGGCAGACTTAGGCATAATACACTCATCCACCACACTTGTACACGTGGGCTTGCACACCCATTTCACACACGTATCTACCCATCCTGAGTGACATGTATGCCCCCACACTGACTTGCAATACCCCTTCCTCAGTGCACCCTCAACCAGCCTCATCTTGGCCATCTGCAGGCACACAGCGCACACGCCCACCACGCGTGTGCGCATGGGTGCGCACACGTACACTTTCTGTAGCACACTTGTTTGATATAACCGCATGCACACCAACACCCTTGCTTGTTCTGTGCCCATCCGCTGGCACACCCACATGTCCATCCAAATACACCGGGCACATCCGAGGGCTCACACTCGAGTGCCTCCGGCAGGCAGGGAGGCGCTCGGGCACAGGGCTCGAGGCGTGCCCCCCGCGGACAGCTATCTGCCTGCCCATCAGCGCGAGGATCTACGGTGGTAAATGATGCATTCGATGGCGGGCGCATTTGTTGTGCGCGCTCTGAAAGGGCTCCGATAATCTGGAAGGCAGAGATAAGAAACACCATTTATTCCGCGGCACTTTGGAAACAATTCCCAGCCCTGTACAACCCCATTCTCGGGCAGCCTCCGGGAGCCGGGCAGATAACGATTGGCTATTCATTATCTTCGCCGGGAACAAAGATTAGCCGGCCGAGATGAAAAATTACCCCGGACAGCGGCGCAGTCCCGCGCGGACCCCCCTGCCCGCCGCCGCCGCCCGCGCCGCCGTGCCCCGCCCGGTCCGCGGGCTCTGCGCTCACGCCCTCCCGGCCCGCCGCCGGGCGCTCGGCCTCCCTAGCTCTGGGCGGGGGCGGCGCCCGCACTGCCCAGTCCCGGCCTGTCCTCCGTCTCAGTCTGTCCGTCCCGCCCACTCACCTTTTGGGTCCCCACTTTCCCCTCTTCCTTTCTAGGGCCTTTCTCCTCTCCCGTCCCTCCCCTCTGCCCTCTGAGTCTCCCTGGTTCTCTCCTCTGCCATCTCTATTTTTCCTCTTGTTTCCCCTCTCTCGCCTCTGTCTGTCCGTGTCTGTCCCTGGCCAGCACTCTTGCTGCCTTTGTTCCCGTCTCTCGGACTCTTTCTGCCACTTCTTAGTTGTTTGTTTCTGTCTGTCCCTGAGTGCCCCCGACCCACCCCTCCATTCCTCACCAGTGTCTCTGTCCCTCACTGCTGTCACTTTTAAAAACCTGCCCTTAGGTCTCCCTGTCTGGTCATCCCTCTGTGTCTCTCTATCACTGAGCCTCCATGTCTGTCAATCTACCACCACCCCAGAAGGCCCTACATCTCCAAGCCTCACACACCTCCTGTCCTCTCAAGGCCGTGTTCCTGACAGTACACCAGAGGCTGGGAGTCTCCAGCCAGCTCTAGTCAGCCCAGCCCAGTAGAGAGATGGCAGGTGGGGTGGAGGGTGTAAGACCTGGAAGCCTCCTCAGAGGAAACAAGACAGAACTAGAAAAGGCCCTGTAGACACTCAAGCCCTGCTGGGTTCGTGGGGGTTTGCTCCTGGGCCCCAGGAATGGCTCCTCCATGCTCCTCCCCAATGAGGCTGGGGGCCTTAGGGGCGGGTGGTCCCAGGGAGGCCACCTCATTACAGCAGTTATTCAGCATGGCACTGGTGTCGGCAGATAAGCCTTATCAGCTCATCTTCCCCTCCCACAGACAGACAGAAAGTGCCCTCGCAAATGGCACCCTGGAGCAACACTGGCTGCCTGCCCTGCCGGTTAGGGAAGGTGAGGATGGTGATTTGGGAAAACACACATGCTGTGTGTCACCGTGGAACACACCCCTCCACACAACATAGACACAGGGTAACAACGGATAGAAAACGCACATAGTTCAAAGATACATTCAAGCATACAGATGCCCACTCCCCAGATACACCGATGTAAACACCCACCCCAACATACATCAGTTCATATGTGGAGCTATACACAGATATGTTGATGTGGATACACTCTCTGCCCTCCCTCCATCGGTTCAAAGATACTTATGGCTGTTAAAAACACACACACTTACGCACACACACCCACTCCCCCCAGTTCATAAAACACAGGATACCCAGACACATGCTGCTACTGACCCATGCAGGGGCAAAAACCCACTTGCAAACACTTGGAAACATCCATTTTCCATCACATGATTCATGGACACAATCACTCACAGATACACAGCCACAGGGACACACACCAGTTCCACAGATACACTCCCCCGCATGCACTAATGGGGTCATGCTCTGAAACAGCCACACACAATACATAAGCTCTCAGGGACCCACAGGAAAAAATGGACATCCGAATAGACTCAGTTTTGCAGACTTCCCTTGTGTCCCAAATGCCCACAGACACACTTGGGCACTCAAGACAGCTACTCTCCTGCATGCACAGAGCACACGCACATGCAACACAGTCACCACAAGCTGTGTTGGAAAGACACACAGACAGCAGGTGCCCACAGAGATGCAGGCACACCTGGGCACACACTACTTTTCCCAGGACCATGGACTTCCCAGTCCCTCCAAGGCAAAGCACTTTCTCTTTGGACCTGGGATCTCTGGGCCACTTTCACTCTCCCTGCACAGCTGGAATGCGACTCAGAGGGGCCCCACTGTGGGGTTGAATTTCCTGGTAGGGACTTTGGAAGTTCAAGGACTAGATTCTCTTAGCTCACAAACGGAGGAGCCTTCTTGGAGTGAAGACTCCAGCACCCCAACTTCTCCACCCAGCCTTCCAAAGACAAGCCCCCTACTCCCTCTTGTCAGAGGTTTCTTTTGGGATGGGCCAGGGAGATGCCCCCAACTCCACTCCGAAAATGGTCTGGTCTGCCCTGGAGTTGGGGAATTGAGCCTGTATGTCTACTCTTAGCCAAATCACTCCGGAAGTGAGGGAGTTGCTTGCCAGAGTGGCGAGCTACATTTGAGTGTGAGCACATGTGCACGCAGGTGTGACCCAGATCTCCGGGGGATGTCCACGCAGCCACAACTGTGTGCACTAACGTGTGCATGTTCATTAGAGCACTACTGGAAGTGTGTTGGAGAAGCAGCAGGCGTCTGTGTACGTGCGTGTGTGAACGGATGTGCCCACGGTTCGCGAGGGTCCCCCGGGAGAGTCTTAAAAGAGAGATGTCCCAGGAAGTCTGAGCGTGCAGCCCTGAGAGGAGGAGTGCGTGTCTGTGCGCCCTGGAGAGGGCAGGGGTGGTCTGGAGCACGGGCAAATAGGGTTTGCGGGCCCTGAGCGCCTCCAGGCCCTCGGCCTGCTGCCCAGCGGCTGGACTAGGCAGACAGGGCGCAGAGTCCCGGGCACCCTCCTGCCCCCTTGCGGTGCTCCCGCCCCACCCCCCCACCCCAAGCGCTGTCGAAATAAAAAGCCGCGGTTGCTGCGGCCGGGAGAGGAGAGAGAGAGGCAACGGGAGCCAGAGGGAGGTAGCGGGGCCAGCGCCGCTCAAGTCTCTATCTCCTGGCTGCCTTCGCCCCCCACCCCAGCCGGCCCCCGTCCGCCACCCGGCGAACAAAAGCGGGCCGCCGCGCACCATGCGGCCACTCGGAGCGCAGCCCGGGCCCTGCTAGTGAACGCGCAAGCCCACGCCGGGCCCCTGGGCCCACCTGGCCACGCACCGCTCTGTACGCACCGCTCTGCTCCGGCCCCGTCCGCCCGGGGGCGCCGCCGGCCGCACCTCACTCGGTAAGTCTCCCCTCTTCTCCTGGCCCAGGCCCTTCCAGTCCTTACGCACTGCGCACCCGGCACCCTAAGCACGGTCCGCCTAGCCCTGTGGCCCCTGACATGTGGCTTTTGGGGCTCGCTCTGGCCCTACCGCCGGCTCGAATCCCAGGTCATAAGGGCCTAAACCTAAGGGAGGATTTGGGGAGCTGGAGACAGCAGGCCTCCCGCCTTCCCATTTCTCGGATGGAGCCCTAGGCCGCAAGCCCCGGTTATTCCCAGAGCTTCGCAACGCGCTCCACCTCTCGGCCCCTGAGCCAGGGTCTTTTGTCTCGGCCGCCCCCCACCTCCGGGCCGCTGTGGCGGACGTGTCCGAGCCGGGCCGCAGAGCTGCGGCTGCACCTGCAGGTTGGTCCCGTGCGCCGGCTTTGCGCGGCTTAACCCGGCTCGCTCCTGCGTGCGCCCCCGCACGCCGCGCCCAGCGGCCCTTTATCCTGTGCGACTGGGGCGCGGGTGAGCTGGGTTGGAAGCCGGAGTCGGAATCCGTTTAGTGGGATTTCAATAAGAATGGGGCCGCCGCGGGCTCCGGGATCTGCAGCCGGGAGGAGTAGACAGCGGTCTGGGTCTGTCCGGACGCTGGGCATTTAGAATCCTAAAGAGACGGCAAAGCTTGAACTCCGGGTTGCCCCAGCCGCTAGGGGAAAGGTCCAGCGTTCAAGGCCCCCGGGTGTGACGGCCGCTCCTTTCCCGGAAAACACGGAAGGAAATTCGTTGTTTTGGAAAAAGCTACGTCTCCCCGGGTCGGGAAAATCTGGCGGCGAGCTCCGGGTCTACGCGGGTACCTCGTACTGGAACTCGTTTATGAGTAGGCAGGATTCTAGAAGCAGGTAGGCCAGTGCGGCTGCCAAGGCGTCTGGAGAGCGTTTCCCAGCCGGGTTGACAAATTGCAAACAAATTGCGTCTAACGAAACGGATTTACCAGTTACCGTGCCGCCGGGCCGCCGAGCCGCCGGGCGCCCTGAGAAAGCCGTAGCTCTTCGCGGAGGAGGGAGAAACGTGGCCCGATTGCCTGCAGGTCTCAGCAAGGCCTCGAGGGTTGGGGGCTAGGGGGTGGGGAGGCTGTCCGGCTTGGAGGTGGGGGTGAGAACCTGGTAAGAATTTACAGGATCTCCCGTGCACTTCGACCCGTGGCACAGTAACATCTAGGACGTTTTGCCTCCGTCTTTGTGATTCAGAATGGCACAGAAGACGGATGGGATGGGAGAGCCAGCATGGAGGCCAGAGGAGGGGGATCCTTCCGATTTAGGGAGCTGGAAGTGAACCCCAAAGTACAGAAGGGGCTGTTGGAGCTCTGCCCCCCACCCATTGCAAAACCCCTCTAGGCTGCAGCCTGAGCAGAGCTGCGGCCTTGCTCTAAAAGGGACTTCTGAACCCCTCTGGCAAAAGCGGCCCCCACTTCCTCCTCAGTACCCCTTAAGGCACATTGATAGTGTGGGGCTGGGAGGCCCCTGGGTTGCAAATTAAATATTCCTATGGAACGCAGCCCCTAAGCAAACTGATTTCTTTGACACTCCCCTCACCCCCCTTGCTGGCCAATTAGATGCCCATAGGAAGAGGCGAGAAGAATTAGGTTACAAAGAGAGCGCAAACTTACGGTCCCAGGGGGGTCGACTCGGATGAGCAAAGTTTAAACAAAGGGCGTGGAGGGGAGGGCTCCGTGGTATGTAGAAGACCTGGGCAGCTGAGAGACCCAGCCAGGCAGGTGAGGCCCTCAAGAACTGGGCTTCGGATCCTCATGCCCCCAGCTGGGGCGAAAGCACCAGAGAGGCACCGACCCACGCTCCCCTGGGCAATTTTGGGTCCCTTGAAAAAGGCCATTAGAAATTTCAGTTTTTCTGTTGCCTTTCCCCAAGTCCTTCGTGAAATCTTGTTCTCATGTCAAGAAAAATGACAGCTTCTTAGCGCGAACGAAAGGCAGCAGCCCGCGTTTGCAACAACCCTCAGGAACAGACAAATACATGAAAAGGGAAACGTGTCCCTTTGAAGGTGTTCGGGAGACCCCAAAGTCCAAGACCGTAAAGTGAAATAAATCTGTTCTCTCCAGGCGCCAGGATGGCCCCTCGCAAACCCAGCTGATCCTGGGGCTGCCTTGACCCTCCCTGGACGTTTGGGCAGAAGTGATAGGCTGGTCTCTGCTCCCTGCTAGGCGAAGCGCCTGGATAGTAGTGCCCGTTGGTTTGTCTGGCATACACGTACACTCAGGAGCGCGGACCCCCTTTATTGTCCAGCTGGGCACCCTCCTGCCAGTCGCCCCGCTTTTCCCTTCCATGCAGATTCGTTCCTGCGGGAGAACGCAGCAGTCCCGTGTCCAACGCAAGAGCTCCAATCGTAGTGGAGGCCTCGGACAAGCCGGCTGCGTGCCTGCCTTTCCGAGGAAGGCAACCCCAGGGCCTCAAGGGAGCTGGCGAGGGCTCCCCTTTCCCTTTTTTCTCCACGCCCGTATTGCGGGAAGGGAGGCTGGTGCGTATCTCCCCAGGCCCCTGCTCAAGCATTGCTTAACTGCCCTGCTAAGCTCCTCTCTGCGGCGATTTTCTGAGCCGCCGAGCGGGGTAATTAAATCCCCGCCCGCGCTCCGCTGTACGCCAGGCCCGCGGGCAGCGCAGCGCTGCCGTTCCTGCAGGGAACTCGGCCTGGCTGGTCACCTCCACCCCTGCGGTGGCCAGGACCCTGCCCCGGAGGGGCTTCAGGCTGCCCGGAGGAGCTTGAAGCAGAGTTCGCGATGTTCGAAACCACAGACCCACCCAGAACCGGGGAGAATTTGAACCGCGTCTTTTTGGGAGAAAGAATTACCTGCTTTCCCGAGGGCTCGGAGCTGCCACCCCCCTGCGAGCCGAGGCGCGGATCTCGGCCGCGGGGGAAGCTTCTACTCGTCTCCGGCGTTCACTGCCCTGCCCCTGGCCAGCGACTGGCGGCCTCCCGCGCTGGGCCCCGGGGTTCGAGTTCTAGTGGGGCAGCCTTGCTGGACACGTAGGATCGTCCCCGGGGCCGCGGTGTCTTTGAGAAGCAAAGCAAGGACGCAAAGCAGGCTCGAGGCTTCGCGGCGATCTCATTTTACGCGTTGACGAATAGTAAGCTAAAGGCAGGGGAGAGAGGGGGACGTACGGAGACAGCGAGTCCAGGCCAGACTGCGCATGGTGCGGGGAGCGAGAACCAGCGAGCACGGAGGCCATTCACCTGCCCAGCCGGCGCCCGAGGTCCGGCACCCCCGGCCTCGCGCTCCTTCTCACGGCCCCGGCGCGCTTTACCCGGGCTGGCGCCGGCCTCCTCTCCCTCCGAGCAAACTTCCAAGAAGCCCGGGCCCCGCGCGCCCCAGCTCAGCGGAGCGGGAGGCGCAGCGGGAAGCCACGGCAGGCGGGTCCCCAAGGGCCTGAGACGCGCGGGTTCCCAGCCGGACGGGGCTCTGCGCCCCCGGACCCGCGCCTTTACCTGCGCCAGAGTCTTGGACAGACGAACGGACAGCGGGATGCAGAGGCAGGAGGAGGGCCTCTGGCCCGGGCCGGCTCCCTCTTGACGCTGCCCAGAGCTGGCCTGGGAGAGGTTGACGGGCCGCGCCCGCCGAGCTGGGCCTGGCCGGACGCCCCCCGAGCCGAGGGGACCGAGGGCTTTCCTCCCTCCTCGGATTATTAAAAAGTTCATTTCCTGGCGAATCGGGTGACGTCAGGGGCCCGGCGTCGCGGTGGCGGGGCCGCCCGGCCGGAGAAGCCGCCTCCAGTTACCCAATTACCGACTGTCAATCCCACCACCCCTCCCCCCACCCTCCCGGGGGTGGCCAGGACCCCCGCCCTCCTCCCTGCCCAGGACCCACCTGGGATCCCTCCGGACTTCTACACCAAGACCCATGCACCCAGCCTGGGAAGAGGGGCTGCAGGATATGGTTTATTTCCCATCACCCCCGCACCTGTCTCCGTCCCTCCCCCTAAATTTCTTTGTTCCCGACCCCCCTCCTCGGCCATAGGCTCCCTTCGAGCCTCGGTCTCCCTCAGTCTCCTCCATCTGTACAATGAGAGAAAGCCAGGAGATTTGTGCACTGGGCCCCCTCGACCCACAGAGCTGGATCTCTGGACTGGACGTGTGTGGAGAGCAGTTCCAGGTGACTTAGGGAGGAGAGGGCCTCTGGCCCGGGTCGGCTCCCGCTCCCCAGGGGCCGCCTTAGGGACCCCCGGGAAGAAAAAAACATGCCTCCTCCTGCCCGGAGGCGTCTCTTTCGAGCCGGCGCCGGCGCCAGTCCGGGTCTCCACGGCCTCGCCCCAGGCAGTTCGGCCCGTTGGTCTACGAAGGCCACGCCCGGGAAGGGGACGCCCAACCCCCCCCGGAGCAGCCGGCCAGGCCACCTCCACCGGGTCAAGCACAGTCCTAAGCGGCCTCGTCTCCGAGGCCCAGGTCCCGCTGGGGCCCCGGAATTCCTGCCGCTTACCGCTCCCGCTGTCCCGCAGCTGTCTTCCCAGGCCCCCAACCAGCCAGCGCCCGAGGTGGGGGAGGGAAGGGTTTGGGTAGGTACTCGGACTCCGACTGGCCGCGGTCAGCCGTAAAGGAGGTGGGATCCGAGAGTGGATGGGCTGGGAGTCTCGGGGAAAGAACAGCCAGGCACCCAGAGGGTGCGCACCCCGGGATCCCGGGAAGGGGGTCCCAGTTGGAGGCTAGTTACTGGGAAGAGGGACCTTAGATTAGGGAGATCCTGAGTGTCCGCAAGAGGGGGCTCAGCCGTCGACCCTCAGGGTGAGGGTCCAGGGGGGGTGGGGGCGTTGGCAGCAGGGGCCGCCGGGAGGGCGCTGGGAGGGGGCAGGCCGGCAGAGGGGGGCAGGCCCGCGGGTCAGTCCCGGAGTCCAGCGGCCCAGGAGTTGCGTGCTCAGCCAATGGGGGGCGGAGGCTGGGCGGCGCACGGTGCTGATTGGCTGGCGCGGGCTTCTTAGGCGTGCACGGCCCCCGCTTCATGTCTGTGCAGGAGTCGCGAGCTGGCGCCAGGGCGGCCGGAGGATGCCGAGGGGCCGGAGCCGGGCAGGCCTGAGGCCGAGGCGCGAGCTGCCCCCCGCTCCTACCCTGTGAGCCCCGCCAGGCCCTCGACGCGTGGTTCCTGAGCCCGCCATCCCGGGGGGCTACAGCCAGTGCTGCTTCCCGGAGGCCGCGCCCCTCTCCCCGCGGCGCTGCGTAAGTTTGGGGTGCGAGAGCTGGCCTGGGGCCTGGGGCACGCCAAGCTTGAACCTCTGGGGGTTTAAGACTAGGGCCAGGCTGGGGTGATTACTTTGTAGTACCTTGGTGAGAGGTCCTGATTGTGCTGCCTAGCAGTGTGCGCGGGGGGCTGGCTCTCAGCCGGTGGGGCTGCGTGTACGTGTTTTTGGGGGAAGACAGTATGTGTGTCCGGCGCCAAGGGTAGGTGTGTGCGTGTGTTTAGGATCATGTGCCCCAGTGGGTGCCCGGGACGCCTGTCTCCAACTTTTAATCTATGTTTATGTGTTTGTGTACCGGGAAGGTGGGGGGTTCCATGTGAGTGCTACTCTGCGTTTGTTGGGGTAACTGGCGTCGGGGCTCGTTCCTTGGTGACCCCTTGTGCACGAGTGTGTGGCTCTGGGACTGGGGGTCACCATGTGAGTGTGCATGGCTGAGCCCTCTCCCCCGCCTTCCTTTCGTTTCAAGCTTGGAGCTTTCCTCCCACCCGGGACTGAGCTTGGCTGGGGTGCAGCGGCGCGCGGGACGCCGCGTGGCGGGACTTCGGGGGTGTAGGGCCTTGGCGGCGCCCCTCACGCCCCCTTCCGTCGCGCAGGGACTCCACCACCGCCTCCGCCCAGATCTTAAGCCTCCGCCTCCGGCCATGGAGGTGGCCCCCGAGCAGCCGCGCTGGATGGCTCACCCCGCCGTGCTGAACGCGCAGCACCCCGACTCGCACCACCCGGGCCTGGCGCACAACTACATGGAGCCCGCGCAGCTGCTGCCTCCCGACGAGGTGGACGTCTTCTTCAACCACCTTGACTCGCAGGGCAACCCTTACTACGCCAACCCGGCCCACGCGCGGGCGCGCGTCTCCTACAGCCCCGCGCACGGTAAGCCCAGGGCCCGTGGGTGACCGGGAGCCCAGGCGCCGCGCTCCAGGCGCGCGAGGGGAGGAGGGCCCGGCTGCCTACTTCCCGGATGTGGGATCCGCAGGAATCGGAGCAGCTGAGAAATTGGGGCAGGAAAGGAGGGGGCAGCAGCTTTTTGGGGAGGGTCTGGGCTTCATAGGGTTTCTGCCCATCCCCAGCTGGCTGTGGGGGTTCTCTCCAGGCCCTGTCCAGTGGGGTTCCTTCTGTGCCACTTGTCCTTCAGCTCCGGACTGACATTCCTGATTATTGCCGGTTGGGGTGTTATGTTTCCGGATTTCTCTGGGGAGTGGGTTACTGCTGATTGTCTTGTGAGTTGCGGTCCTGTGTATCCGTGTCCTGGCTCGGCCCAGCCTCTGCGCACCCTGACCCCTTTCCCCCTCCCGCAGCCCGCTTGACCGGAGGCCAGATGTGCCGCCCACACTTGTTGCACAGTCCTGGGTTGCCCTGGCTGGATGGGGGTAAAGCGGCCCTCTCTGCAGCTGCAGCGCATCACCACAACCCCTGGACCGTGAGCCCCTTCTCCAAGACGCCACTGCACCCCTCAGCTGCTGGAGGCCCTGGAGGGCCCCTCTCTGTGTACCCAGGGGCCGGGGGTGGGAGCGGGGGAGGCAGTGGGAGCTCTGTGGCCTCTCTCACCCCCACCGCAGCCCACTCTGGCTCCCACCTCTTTGGCTTCCCACCCACACCACCCAAGGAAGTGTCTCCGGACCCTAGCACCACTGGGGCTGCCTCCCCAGCCTCCTCCTCTGCAGGGGGTAGTGCAGCCCGAGGTGAAGACAAGGATGGCGTCAAGTACCAGGTGTCACTGACAGAAAGCATGAAGATGGAAAGTGGCAGCCCCCTGCGCCCAGGCCTGGCTGCCATGGGCACACAGCCGGCCACACACCACCCCATCCCCACCTATCCCTCCTATGTGCCGGCCGCTGCCCATGACTACAGCAGCGGACTCTTCCACCCTGGAGGCTTCCTGGGCGGCCCTGCCTCCAGCTTCACCCCTAAGCAGCGCAGCAAGGCCCGCTCCTGCTCAGGTAAAGGGAGGTGCCAGGGACCTGGTGGATGTGGGACGGTTGCTGCTTTGGTGGGTGTGCTGTGATGTGGGAGATGGGCAGTGCCCGTCTTCCTGATTTGGGGATGGGTGATGTCCCTTTCTAATAGTCCCCAGTAGATGTATATTAGGTGCATGAGACCCCAGGACAAGGGACAGGGGAACCTAAAACTTTTGCCCTTTTCTTAACTGTTGCTGAGGGTCCCCAAAGTTCATGTCCCTTCCCCACTCCTCACCCCCTTCCACGCTGGACCCCTGCTAGACTGAGCACAGAACAGGAATTCCCCTTCCCTTCCCTGAATCTTAAGTGGCAACTCAGGCAGCCTCAGGACTTAGTGTGTGAGAGAATGCAGTACGCAGGTGAGAGCAGCGAGGGCAGGCGTACGTGTGTTTGTGAGCGTGTGTATGTGTGCTGCGGGCACACTCCAGAGGCTCCAGACTCTTAAAGAATCTGGTCCTGCAACGCAATCAGTCCAATCTTGGGATTTCAATGGCTCCAGATCTCCTTGGGAGATTTCCCCCAAAGCAAAATTCCCAGGACCTGTTCCTGCTCCCTGTTCCCTGCCCCCTGGCGTGTCCTTCACTTTCCCTCCCCGAAGGCTGGAGTGAGGGGGATGAAATTGGAAGTGCCCCTGCCCACAGGAGCAGGTTGGGTCAAGGTGGTTCAATAATCTGGCTGTGGAGCAGAAACCAAGGCTAGTGTGGGCTCTTGCTGTCAACGCTTCCTCCCCGATCCCTTTAAGCCAGGGAAGGAAGATTTTTAAAACCATCACTCCTGAGTCCAGGAGCCACCTCTTCTTGCCTGTATCTTTTGACAATTTAGTTTAAACTGAATGGGGAGGATTTTCTTGGGTAACATGATGCTGAGGCAGCCACCCTGATTAATCACTACCATGGCCATTGACACCCTCCTCAGCCCCACCTCAGGGCCCCTGTTCTGCTCAGGCCAGTTAACTTGCCTTTAATTAATCCTTCCTCCTAAATTTGTTTTACATTCGATTGGAATTCCAGATGGCCTTTAACAAAACAATACAAAATCCCAAACCAAAAACTAACGACGACAACTAAAAAGCAATGTCTCAGTCTACTTAGCCTAAAAATGAAAGGGCTTATTATTTATTTTATTTTAAAGAACAACAACTTCGATCTGAGTCCAGGACTGATCTGGGACTTCAGCAGAAGGGGGAATGTCCGGGAGAAAGGAGGAAATTATCCTGAGCTTAGGGCACGGGAGGTGGAGCTGACTGAGGAGGTGCCAGACACAGCTGGGGAGAAAGGAGAGGCAGAGCCCGAAGAGGGGCCAGAGTCCTCCGGGCCTAGCCAGGGCAAGCTGGGTGACTCCTGCTGCCACCCTGCCATCGGCAAAGTTTGCTGTAAATACCCTTTCCTTGCCGTGGGGAGACTCGCTGGGGCCCTGACCCCACCCCTCCCTCCTGCCCTCTTTCCCTGCTTCAAGAGAGGATTTAGAGGACGAAGATTTTGCCTGGAGAACTATTCTCTGGACCCCGCCTCCTGTGGGGCAGCCCCCCTGGGTCTCTCTTCCCTCCTGGGGCTGGATCTAAATGTCACTCCCCCTAGTAGCCTGGCCGCAGACCCCTGCCTGCTTGGCTCCTGCCGGGCCTTGTCAGTTAACAGGCCCCGTGTGTGTCCTTGTCCCCCTTCAGAAGGCCGGGAGTGTGTCAACTGCGGGGCCACAGCCACCCCTCTCTGGAGACGCGACGGCACTGGCCATTACCTGTGCAATGCCTGCGGGCTCTACCACAAGATGAACGGGCAGAACCGGCCGCTCATCAAGCCCAAGCGGAGACTGGTAGGTAGTGGCGCTGGGCGAGGGCAGCAGGTGGCTGGGGAGGCAGCCGTGGGGCAGCGCCAGGGGAGCTAACCTGGGCAGGAGCCCACCATTAATTAAAACAAAAATAATAATAACAACAAAACCCTTCAAACGCAGAAGCTCTGCCACTTGAAATCCTCTTTTATCATTAAAATCTCCTGGATGTCAGTTGGGGTCACCCTGCTTTCAGGTTAGAGTTTTTCAGGCCTGATTTCCCACTAGGCACCCTCACCCCACCCCGCCCCAGGATCCCCAAAGTTGAGTGTCCACAGGCCCAGCTCCCGTCCCCTGCTTAACTCTTTTTAAAAATAGGGCCATGAAGTAATTTTCCTTGTAGCTCAGGGCAGCTCGCTCCAGCTCCCAACAATCTCCCCATGCTTATTTAAATAAAGCACACACTCACACCAGCCACCAAAAAAACCTGCCCTTTATTATTTTTCCATGGAGTCACCTATACTGTGTATTTTCATTTGAGTGATTTTAAAAAAAAGTGCCCTTTCGGATCTCCTGCCGGAGTTTCCTATCCGGACATCTGCAGCCTGAAGATAAGGAAAGTTCGTGTATCTGTTTCCGGACTCCGCGAGTTTTTAGAGTCTGTCCTCGGCTCAGTCCTGCCTCTCGCTGGGCTGTTTTGAAATTTCTAATGCCCTCCACTCTGCAAATAATGCGTAAAATGCTAAGAATAATAAATATATTTTTTCAGGGCGAAGTGATTTATGAGGCTTAAATCGCTCTCTGCTTTGGGGGCCCCCCTTTTTTTTTCCTGGCGCGAGGGCGGGGTAAGGGCCCGGGTGGGGGTAGCAGGGGAGGATATGGTGTTGGCCCCTGAGTCAGAATTCCAGCTTCAGGCTGCTTACTCACGGTCAGCCTCCCCGCCCCTGTGGCTGCAGTCTGGCATGAGGGGCCATTCCAGCCTCTGCTGGCTGAGCCCCGCACCCCAACCCCTGCTGCCTGTGGTCCTCTGGGAAGTGTTGCCAGACCAAGTTCTGGGACCGTGGGGCCAGGGCCCAGCATCTGCTTTGCTGGATAAGATCTTACCTTCTCTTAGGAGCCTTCAGCTCCTAACTCCAGAAACCAGACACCCATTTCTGGATCACGTCTGCCCTGCATTCCCGGAGAGACTGGGGGGCAGCTGGAACTCTGGTTGGAGGTCCATGGTGCTGGACAGATAGACAAGCCTCATTCGATAAGCCTCCAATGAGGGAAATGTTCTGGATCTGCACTGTCCACTGTGGTCATGTCCAGCCCATGCTGTGGCGATTGATCCTTTGAAATGTGCCCGGTGCAATGGAAGGAACTGAATGTCTAATTTTATTAAATTATAGTTCAATTTAATTTAAATAGTCACATGTGGCTGGTGGCTACCGTATTGGACAGTGCAGCTCCAGACTTCCTGTGGCCTGGGCAGCCACAGGCCCCCTGCCCTGGCCTCAGGGACGCCGACACACCCCAGGATTGTGGGTTTTCTGAAGAGTCCTGCGGGAATGCAATGACAGACCCAGAGGCTTCAGGGGGACCCATCCAGCCTTCCAAACCCTAATGAGCCCTTCTCCGAGCCTCAGTTTCTCTGTCTATAAAGTTAGATTATTTGGTAGTTGGGGGAAGGTGGCTAATTTTTCCCTTCCAGCTCTTGCAACTCTGTTGATTCTAAGATCAAGCTTCTGAGAGCTCTTTATTCTAGAGTTCTGCTCTGTTTAGGTCTCAAATTCTACAATTCCACGGCTCTAAGATGCCTTGATTCCCCTGTGAGATTTACCGCTCCTGGGCTAAGTTTGCGGGGGCTGGGATGGGGCCATGATGGAGGGGGGAGGTCGAGGTAGAGCGTGGGAGCCCAGCTTGCTGACGCCGCCCCTCCCCTCCCAGTCGGCCGCCAGGAGAGCAGGCACCTGCTGTGCGAATTGTCAGACGACAACCACCACCTTATGGCGCCGAAACGCCAACGGGGACCCTGTCTGCAATGCCTGTGGCCTCTACTACAAGCTGCACAATGTGAGTCCGCCCCGGCCCGCCCCACCCCTCCCTGGGGACTGCTGCTCTTTGTGCTGCCAGGCAAGAGGCCCCCACCACCACCTCCAGCTTGGCGTGGCTTGGGAAGCTGCTGCCTCACGGGGGTCAGCCCGAGTGCCAGAGGGCTTCCCATAAGAGGGGGCAAGCTGGCTGGTACTATGTCCCCCACAGCAGGGGCCAGCAGGCCCAGGGAAGAGGTCCCCCTGTATAAAACAGCAGTCTGGGTGGGGGTGGGTTTGAGTTGTGTCGGCAGGGGACAGTGCTGGCATTTACTGGGCCTGGTGCCCTGTACCCACATTCCTCTCAAAACGCCAGCAGTGCTGGTGAGGAGAGAGGGGTGGTGGGTGGGCATTTGGAAGGGGGGACCCAGCCTACACCCGCCTTGCCCCTCGCCGAGGTGCCCAGCGGGGTGGGAGAAGCCTTGCTCTAGGAAGGGACTGGGCCCTGAAGGCGCTGTGGCCACCCCCAGGTGAATAGGCCACTGACCATGAAGAAGGAGGGGATCCAGACTCGGAACAGGAAGATGTCCAACAAGTCCAAGAAGAACAAGAAAGGGGCCGAGTGCTTTGAGGAGCTGTCCAAGTGCATGCAGGAGAAGTCGGCCCCCTTCAGCGCTGCTGCCCTGGCTGGACACATGGCGCCCGTGGGCCACCTCCCACCCTTCAGCCACTCGGGACACATCTTGCCCACACCGACGCCCATCCACCCCTCCTCCAGCCTCTCCTTCGGCCACCCCCACCCGTCCAGCATGGTAACCGCCATGGGCTAGGGACAGCCCCCCTCGAATGGACAGACTGATGCCAAGGAGGGTGGCCAGCAGCGCTGGGCTGGGTGCTCCCAGATGGGTGGGTCAAACCCTTAGCTGCCCTCCCTTCCCTGGAGACTGATGCCACCCCTTCCAGCCCAGCCAGAGCCCACGCTGCCTCGCCGGTGGGCTCCGCTCAGCCACGGCAGCCACTGTGAAAATTCTCGCCGGGGTAGGGGGGCGGCCCCCGTCTGGCTGCTGCCAGGTGGGGTTTCCATCACAGACAGTCAACTTGATAAAAGAGAGGAGGGGGCAGAGGACAAATGAAGGACACCGGTTTTAGAAGGAAAGGGGAATAGGCAAGAATAATTTATTTTGCTCTTGTTTCTAACAAGGACTGGGAGACTGGGAGGTCTGAGCTGCCCAAGTTCTCCGGGTCTTCCTGGGTGCCAAGTGCCCCTTGACCCACCTGCGTGCGAGGGTGATGGGGCAGGCCTGCAGGGATCTGAGCCTGCACCTTCTCCTCTGGCTTTCTTCTCTGAAACGCCGAACCCCAGGCTGGGCTGAGCCAGTGCAGAGGGGCTGCGGGCCAGGAGGCTGAGCTGGTGTGTGTGCTGGTGGCCAGGCCTGGAGGCAGAGACAATCACAGGCGGTCCTGCGCAGATTCCCAGGCCAGGGCTGGGTCACAGGAAGGAAACAACATTTTCTTGAGAGGGGAAACGTCTCCCAGATCACTGCCCTGGCTCTGAGGCCGATGCTGTTGTGATCTGTGTTGTCCCCTCAACGAGCCTGAGCCACAGCCTGCCTCCTCTGCCAGGTGGACCCCTGTACATACATCCTTTTTCTGCTAACCCCTCAACCCCCTCCCCTCCCACTCTGAGACAAAAGAAAAAATATTAAAAAAAAAACTGCATAAGCTTAACTCGCTGATGAGTTAGTTGTTTTATTTTTAAACTCTTTTTTGGGTCCAGTCAATTGTACGTTGCCACAGAAGCCCTTGCTGTGGAAAGGAATAAAACCTGCAAACCAAGGCTGTAGCTTTGCAATTATTTTTGGAAAAGTTCCTGGATCCCACAGCCCTGGAATGGGCAACAGGGGGCCAGGGGTGGGGCATTGGCTGCTCTTGGCTTCTGGGGGCTAGTCTGGCAGGTGGCGAAGGCAGGAGCTGGGGGTGAGTCAGAGCCGGGACCCAAGGAGGCCATGACCTGGCTGGGGTCCTGGGAGGTGCCTGGGTTCTACTCTGCTTTTCTGTGGCTGGCTGGATCCTTCCCAAGGTACAGCTGTACATAACTGTGTCTGAGCTTAGATTCTGTATGCGGGGGTGGTGGGGTGCGGCAGCCAGTGAGGGCCCCAGGGCCTGGCCCAGGAAGAGGATTGTGCTGATGAAGTGACCAAGTGCAATATGGGCAATCGCTGCAAGGGCACCTCAGCCAGGAGTAACTTATTTTGTACTAGTATCCGCATAAGAAAAAGAATCGGCAGTATTTTCTGTTTTTATGTTTTATTTGGCTTGTTTTGTTTTGGATTAGTGAACTAAGTTATTGTTAATTATGTACAACATTTATATATTGTCTGTAAAAATTGTATGCTCTCCTCTTACTCCTCTAAAGTGAATACTGTTAAGAATAATAAAATACTTTTTGTGAATGCCTCTGGCCTGTCTTGTGGGCTCGTGGGGCTGCTGCGTCCTGGATGTGGAGATCATCCATCAGACCAAACTGGCCCTCCTATGGCCCAGTGATGTGGAGGGAAGGGCTCCTGTGATAGGGGATGGTGCCCTGTCTGGCCAGGGCCTGAGATCCTAGCCCTCCTCCCCGGAGGATCTCCCATCTGAATTTCCTTATCTGCACCTAACCGTGGGTCCTGGTGACTGGGTGGATATGGGGGAGGCTCAGGGAGGCTGTGGATTCATCAGCCTTTGGTCCACACATGAATCCTTTCCTTTGCAGAACCCAGCAAGGATTGACCCTACCCCTCACCCCCATGTACTTCCTCCCAGGTGCGATCAGCTTTCATTTCTGAGCTATCTGATCACCCATATTCCTATTCACTGACAAACCTGATCACTGATGTCTTTGATCACTGATGTCATTGATTGCTGTCATCTTTAATCAACAGTGTTGGTCATTGGAGATTGCCACCATGACTGACAGTCCTGATCAATGATCTGTCTGTCTGGTCACCAGAGCCTGTGACCATACACATCTGATTACTAACAATGGATCACCAACACTTATTCATCAATATTTCATCAATGTCTCTGATCAGCGATATGTCTGATCACTGACATCCACAAAATATGATCAGCAGTGCCTTCAGTGACTGTCTACTTACCAATGATGTCTGATCACAAATATCTCTCGCCACCATTGTTCCCGATCATCATATCTATTCACTAATATTTCCATTCAATGCGTCTAACTTCTATGATACTCATGGTCTCTTTCCTCAATATTTCTCTTCATCATGTCTGTGATCACTGGTGCCTTATCACCCATGTTCTTGATTACCGAAGTGGTGACCACTGCACCCTGTCACTGATGTTCTGGGCCATCAAGAAATGTGATCATCAATGCCATTGGTCAATGTTTTCCTAACCAATGATAGATTTGGTCACTCATATGTGGTCTCTGACATCCCTGAGCACACTCTCTCATCCCTAACGTCCTCTTAGCAATGACCTCGGTGACTTGTCTCCAAACACCAGCATCTCTAACCAACAGTGCACCTGGTGACCAGTGCCCCTGATCATGGAATCCACTTACCGTCAATTTTTCTCACTATCGAAACAGTCACCAGAGACTCTGGTTACCAATATCTTTGACTGTTCAATGCTAATCATTAAGCTCTAGTGTCCAATATTGGTAATTTCTGAATCTTCTCATCTTCCAAGTCCCTCCGACCAATGTCCTTTTCCCCCCGATTACCCGTAGCTCTGATTGCCAACCTCCTCGGTCATTGGTATCACCCATGGCTCTGACTGCCAAATCCTCTAACCATCACTGCCCCGACCCCTGGTAGATCACACACCACCCGATCTCTGTCTCCAGTCCTCGAATCTGATCACCAGTGTCTCCCTTACCCTTGGTCATCAAGGACACGAGCACCAAATGTGCCCATCACTGATGCTCCTGTCGCCCACATCCTCAGTCCCGTGTCCCAGATCGATGACTAATGATATAGCCAATCAATGATCATTCTGATCACGAAGCTCTGTGAGCACTGCCTACCACTCTGCAGTCCATCACCACCACCCTCTGTGATCATGTGTTTGAAGGGCATCATCTCCCCAATGACTCTCGCGTCTCTAATTACAAGACACTCCAGTTGTGTGTCCCTGGTCAATGATTTTTTTTGAACCATTATCACCTCTAGTCCCTTGGGTCCCTGACAACTGGGATTTCTGATTGCCAACCTCCTTGTTCCTTGGCATCACCCCTGGTGCCCCCCTGGGTCTGGGAGCCCTCCTTTATTTCCCATCCAGACTGCTGCACTGCAAGGTGCTTGCTGGGGCTGGGAGCCGGGGGCGGCGATGGTCCCCTGAAGGCCAGCACGCCTTCGGTGAAGCCCCAGATGGCCAAGCCCATCAGGATAGAGTGGGGTGGGGCGGGCACCCCTGGGGCTCTGGCTCAGGACGCCTCTGCCGCTGCTGTGCCACCAGTACCCCACCCATGACCTTTCCCTGTAGAGCAGAAGCCCAGAGCAGGCAGGATCCAGTGCACAGCTGGGGGACGCTTGCTGGCCCTCTCAGTGCTCCTGACAGCTCCCTGTCCTGCCCTTCCCCAGCACACAGGGCTCTGGCCTCCCCTCCTGCCGGCTGCGGCCAGTGAGGGTGGGGAGCACCCTGCTCTCCTGCTCCGTGACTCCTGGCTGCAGGACGTGTGTCTTCATGGCTGTGCTTCAAGTGTACGTGTAAGTGTACCTGTGGAAGAACTCCCCTGCACCAGGCACTGTTCCAGGTGGGGCCTGCACCAGAGAATAAAACAAACAAGAGCCCCTGCCCTTGAAGAGCTTACAGACTAGGCAGCAGGCACAATAATGCCTTTACCTGGCCTCTGGCAAACTGTCCTGCCTGCCTGGCCCCAAATCCAGAGCCCAGAGCCAGAACCTGCAGTCCATGGCTTCTTGTCTACAGCCTGAGCCCCGGAACTCAGGAACCAAAGCCCAAAACACCCAGTGCAGAGCACATGCACCCCGATTCACGACTTAGAGTTTGGCACTCTGACTCCAGAACTTACATCTGAGGACTCTGAGACTGGGACCCAGAATCTGGACCTCAGAATCCAGGTCTCAGAAATATGGAGCCCAGAATCCAGAGCCCGGACTGTGACACCTAGAGCCTGGCTCTCAGAACCCAGAAGTTAGCACCATGATCATGGAGCCCAGGGCCTGGAATCTAGATCCCAGAGGCTGTACTGCCTGCAGCTCAGGAGCTGAAATGGAGAATTCAGAGCCCAGAGTGTCCCCTGAAAGACCCCCCTCAGTGTCTGTTGTACATCCCTAGGGCTGATTTCCTTCCTTGTCTTTGGATCGCCCAGCGCCAGGCACTGTTGAAAGTGCTGAGAGGCAGCCAGCAAGAAGCAGGCAGATGAATGGTGGTGGCGGTGCGGGCTGGGGGCTGGGGGTGCGGCACTTGTCTGTCACTCTTGTGTCCTCATTGCTTCTCCAGGGCCTGTGGTGGGTGCTTCCTAAATGTCTGTTGAAGAGATTCATTAATTCATCCCACACATGTTTATTGGCTTTGGCTGGGTTTGTTCCTGGCCTTGGGGTAGGGGATGAAACACAGAAAGATCTCACTCTGGTTAATCAGCTCCCTCTGGCTGCCAGGAAACTCTTGGAGGGTAGGAGCTGTTTCTGACAAAGGGCAGCGGCCAGAGCTGGGGAAGGAGAGGCTGTGGAGGCAGTGGGGCTGGTGTTGACCAGAGAGGGGGTGACCTCCCGGAGCAGGGAGAGCACACCGGGCTATGGAGGCGCTAAGTTCAAGTCCTGGCAGTACACTTTGGAGCCACACAACATGGCTCAGGACTCCTGCAGCTTCTGTCCCACCTCCTTAAGATAATCAGCAACTAACAATGACTCCCGCTGCCCACAGTCATTGTGCAGGTAAATAGTTTCGATTTTGTGGCCTCAAAGCTCCCAGGCAGGGCAGGGCAGGGCAAGCAGGCAAGCGGCCGCCTTAGCAGGGCGATAGTGCCTTTATGATTCCACAGGGCCTGGCGCCAGAGCGCCTGGGGTGGATTGGCTTTTGTTCCATCTGTTTGCACCCAAGTGGGGCTGGCCGGCCCAGGGCCCCTTCCTCCCTTCCTGCCGCCCGCCCGGACACTCCTAGGCCCAGCTTCTTATTCCCATTTTCTGTTGGAAGAACTCTAATGCCTCGGTAATTCTTAGAGACCAGCTCCTTCCTTCTCCAAAATACCCTCCTGCCTACTGGTGACCCACCACCAGGATAGGGGAGGGAGACAGTTTTCCCATTCCCGGGGCCACAGAGTGGACACTGCCCCAGGGGAATAGGATTTGGGAGGAATGCCTGACATCCACCTGAGCGGCAGGAAAGGCCACAAACACTGGGGGAAGGGGCAGGTCCCAAAGCAAGCAGGCTGTCCAGATGATTCTATAGTACCAGACCACGGATAAAGTGATTTCAAACTTTGTCTGGAAAAACTAACAAGACCAACAGAACAAGTGAGAAAATTGGGGAAAATAAAGCATGGAGTGTGTGTGTGGGTGTAATGCTTTCCAATATTAAACAAGATTCTATGATTGCAATGTTCACACCTTGTGGTTCTGCTGTAAGAATGAACAGTTCAATGGCGCAGACCCAGGTAAGCCTGAAACAGACCCTATTATTTACAAGATAATGGATGATAAAGGAGGGATCCTGAATCAATGCAAGGGTGGAGGGGGATTCCATCAAGTGAAGTTGGATCACCTAGCTGGTTAGCATGTCACCAGGTAAACACCCATGGCAGATCTAAACCCAGCAACCTGCGGCCTTATTCAGCCAGCAGACAAGTTCTGTTTTGGTTGCATGATGTTTTGCAAAAATACAGATGAATTGCAAATGATTTGAAATGAGGAGGTTCACTTAAAAATAGGCAGAAGGTTTGGCCCCGAGGGGACTGTGCGTCTGCAGGGCCATTTCTGCGTGTCTTGCCTCAGGAAGCCCTGCCTCTGTCTCCACCTGGCCCCTCATGCCCATATCTGCCTCCGTCTTGGGGTCACTGAGTTTGAGTCCTGACATCATCACACACATCCAACTACACCTTCAAGTTTATTAAGGAGCTACTCTTGAAACCAACCAGTTCAGCCCACCCAACGGGATTACCCAGCGTGGTTCCCTCACAGATACACTGGCAGAGGGGTACTAAGCCTCAAGATGAAATCCAGCCTTTCTAGGAACTAAAGAGGGAAAAGGAAGTTGTTGAATGTGCAGGATGTCCAAGCTTTTGCAGCAGGGAGGGAGTGGTAGGATAATTTGGGACAGTGCTCTTGAAGTGGGTTCTGAGATAATAATTCCAAGACTTGAATGTGAATCACTATCCCAATACCTTTTGTAAGAAGCTCTGACACGAGATGTCCAGGATGTCATTATTTATAAAACAGGGAACTTGGATACAATTTAAAGGCTCAACAAAAGGACATGAGGAGAGT